TGATCTGTCTATCGATTAAGTACTGCAGATTATATATTTAAAAATAAAAAAAATATTTTTTTTTAAATTACGAAATCATGTATGAGCGTATTGGTTTTGGCTTCCGTAGAAGGATCAATTAATAATAAATTCAAACTCGAAGCAACTATTTTCTAAAAAAAAAAGAAGATATTTGTGATGTACCCCACACGTCAATTTATCTATAATGACATGAAAAAATATTAGAAGGTATAATCGTGTACATCTTGAAAGTAGAAGAAAGTTAAAAGTAAGAAAGGTCTCATGATCACGACAAGAAAAGTACAAATCTTTCATAAGTAAAGCATTTCATAACCCAGAGTTAAAAATTATGAGGTAAAAACTCACTATGACAGTAATTGAAGTCCAATAGCTCACGCCGAGGCGTCTTAATCTTAAAATATACAGGACCATACGTAACGATTGAAAGGGCTACAGTTGTAATTGCCTGAAAAACTAGCTTCGCTGAAACTTCCGTGACAAAAAAGTGCCTATGATGATCACTTTCTCTAATTCGCCACTAAGCCACAAATGCTGCTATGGTTTAGAAATTGAACATAGAATAGATTATTAGTATCTGTCTATATTTTTGAGGTGAGGTATTATGTACACTATTTACATTTTTCGGACTATTGTCCACATTTTGTCGCCATAATTATTACAACGTTTCGTCACAATTTTTCATCAAACATCATGGACTGGCGTTATAGAATCATATTAAAACATATTATTTATGGTCTTTCAAGAAACAAAACACATCTAAAATGGATATAAAATATAACTCAAACAGAAAATAATGACATAATCACGAGATTAACGTTCCACACTACTACAAACAAAAAGTTAGTAAGGAAAACCCCATCAGTAATGAAAAGAGCGATAGTAATTACTGGACTTGAGAAACCTATTTTACTAAAAAAAAAAAAAAATTAGAGAAAGATTATATAAATTTCAAACGTTAGTGGAACTGGCTGCTCAGTCAATGAATGTTGAATGTTTCCTTATAAGGAAACGGCTAATAGTAACGTTCAGGATTCAATGAATTCCATTAGCGTATAACATTTAACATAAAAAATATTATGACTTGTTTTATTTTACGAGCAAGGGCTTCGAATATTCACCGTCCCTACTCATTTCAGTTTGTCTTTATCCTAGTTAGATATCACCTTAGGACGTAAATGATAACGGCTCTGTACAGCTTTTCCTTATTTTTAAAATCCATCAAATGTACATAAACAGGATTCTCCTTAAAAATCCATTGCACGTAATCTTCTCCGCAATTCTGATTTAACCGTTTCGTTCGATATAGCTGGCAGCCAACCAAGGCTAGAAAACTTAGTCTGAACTGGCTTTTTAACATTTTGATCGGTCCAATTTTTTTCAGTCCGAAATTGGATTCCCTGTATTTAATCCGTTGGTATGTAATCCAAGTGGATCATAGTAATATAAAATATTAAAACTGATCCACAAAAAAAATCTCAATATTTTCGTCGGTTGAAATAAGTTTATCTCCCATATGAGTTAATTTTGGATTTCATTGTGTACCATATATATATATATATATATATATATATATATATATATATATATATATATATATATATATATAGTTTATGCAAAACTAGGTAATCCGCATGCGTAGACCCAAGGAGGATGATATCCGGAGAGCTCAATGTAAACTTTAGAGCCGATATATTTGAATAAAAACGGACCACTTTAAGATTCCATGTAATAAGTTATTTCACCATAACCGCTTTAACAGGGCTCTGGATCATCAGACTTTACTTCCGTTGTATTCAAATATATATATATATATATATATATATATATATATATATATATATATATATATATATATATATATATAATCTTTAATAGTTATCGGTATGTGAGCTTATATTCATCTATCTTACCAAAATACACCTACAGACTTTACTTCATCACAGTTCTGATTCCACAGTTTCGTTGTATCTAGCTGGCAGCCAGCCAGGGCTTGAACACTCAGTATGTGCTGTCTTTTAAAGCCATAGTTTTTTTTTATGCCCTTTATATATATATATATATATATATATATATATATATATATATATATATATATATATATATAATCTTAAATAATTATCGCTACGTAAGGTTATACTCGTCGACCTTACAAGAATACACCTACCAACCTTACTATCAAGAAAGCTTTTGTTTACAAATGCATAATTGTGTATAAGTACAGAGCAACTATTTTATTTTATTATTTAAAAAAAAAAAAAGCTATCATCTTTTGTTTAAAGAAAAGAATAAATTCAGGGCTCGCGATTTATTTATGTTGGAGTGATGATAGTGCCTTTTATTTATTTATTTTTTGTTTTGTTTTCAGGTGGCAGTCAAAAAGACGCAAGCAGCAGACAGGGAATTTGGGGAGTCTGTTCAAGATATTTCGCTATAGCTGTAAAGTTTTATCGATAGGGCAGCCATTTTATATGCTTGTTCTCATGCGGCAGAGAAAAGGCATATGGCGGCGGTTTTCTTTAAAGTTCCTCTGATTTATGTAGCGTAGCCATGTTTTTGCGAGATTTTAGGGCAAAATGGGAAGCTGCTAATCGAGTTTATTATTGACTTTTACCGCCCCCTGGCGGCAGTTAAAAAAAAACATTATTTTTTTCTGTTCTGATGTATTAAAAAAAGGTAAGTAAAAGCGAGAGGATATAACAAGGAAGACACGATTTTGTGAGGAAGGGATAAGATTGTCTGAAGAATATGGCAAAACAAGAAGGGGAGAAAGAACGCGATTGTATATGAAGGGTGAAAATAAATAAATTTCGACATTAAAAGAAATTGCACAATTTCGCTCACAAAGCACCACATTTGATTGGTAGTTTTTTTTTTGTTATTTTTTTTTGAAGACAAGAAAAATAATTACACTATCTAATAATACCTCTGTATACAGTACAAGTGTCTCATGACCCCCAAATCTATGATGCAGCCACTTCGTGTCAATGACACGCCCCCACTCTAGTAATATCAATTTTCATTTGGTAGTAGTCATATAAAATACAAATTTTATTATAACATAATTAGATTAAACAATGGATCATGTGTAATATAGGTGAAAAATTCAACTAGAATAATTCAAAATAATTACAATGTGTCTAAATAGAAATTAGAAACCAGACGTAATAGATTATCCCATCTGAAATAAATCAAAAACAGCATTGTGGCAATTTTTAAAATCAGCTTTTTAAAAAGTTGAATAAATTTTAACACATTGAACATTATGAATAAAAAAATAGTGGATTTTATATATCATTTTTTTCGAGACTAAGCAAAGCAAATTCCTGAATTTTGGGGGGAAAAAAGAAGAAAAAACGGCCCCAGTAAAACATGAAAATCCGCGAAAAGGTTTCATCCTTTAACTGTCTAGCTTAATTTCTAACGGATATGAATGTAGATAGGAAACTAGCAAATGTTCATAGATAGTGACGATCACAGAGCAGAGTACAGGGCCCCTACCCACTCCTCTCATCGAGTTTGGAGGCATTACGCACGGGCCCTGCATATATAAATGCATATGCCATCGATATCTACCGTGCGAATGGGATTGCCGTGTATTTGCCAATACTGCCAAATATCGATTTTCGAACTCACTTAAAAACAAAGATTTTGCATGCTGGTCTCAATATAATAGGCACTAACTACTTTTAAAATTTGCGCAAATCAGTATTGCAGCTATTTTCAATATATATATATATATATATATATATATATATATATATATATATATATATATTTATATGAAGAAATATAATCTTAAGATGTGCTATATTTATGGGATAAAGTGCCCAATATCAGAGACAGAGCGTGTGTAAATATAAAAGTGAACATAGAAGTCAGCACTTAGAGGCGACAGTCTGTTCTATGCTATATGCAATCTATATGCAATATGCAATTGTTAGGCCTGACGATTGCATATAACATGAAACAGACTGTGGCCTCTAAGTGTTGACTTTTATGTTCACTTTTATATATATATATATATATATATATATATATATATATATATATATATATATATATATATATATATATATATATATATATGCACCTTTCATTGAATACGACAGACAAGGTGCTTTTTATTTAGTTTTTTTATACAATTTCTCTCTTTTCAGATAATAAATTATATAAGAACTATCCGAATGTTCTTTTTATCCGAGCTCTTTCGGCTATACATTTAGCCATTTTCAAGGATTAAATATTTTAACTGTTAAATAAGAAATTATCTACAAGAAAAGTCTAAAAATAATGGAAGACTTATTAAGAAAAACAAAAGAACCAGCACTTAATGATATTAACTATGAACATGGGCACAATATCTTTACCGTGTTTTGAAAAATGAAAACATTTTATAAAACATACATGCAACAAACTATTTCTTACTTAACAGTTAAAAAGAAAGCGCTCGGATAAAAACATTCGAACAGTTTTTATATTATTTATCATCTGAAAAGAAAAAAAATATTGCATGAGAAATTGTATATAAAAAAAAACTAAATAAAAGCACCTTGTCTTCGTATTCAATGAAATGTGCGTGAAATAAAGACGGATTGCCGCCTAAATATATATATATATATATATATATATATATATATATATATATATATATATATATATATATATATATATACTCTGTTTCGATAACTCTGAAAATTTTTTCTCAACAACCAGTGAAGGGCCTTTTTTTGGTCGTCGTAGGACTTGCCCATATTTATGGAGAGGAATGACCCATTACCCTACCACGTTCGACCAATGAGGTTTAGTAAGGCCGGATGTTTGTAAGGGCGTGTCTGTTTCGAGTCATAATCGTCCAACAGTATTTATCTGTAAGTGAATTACGCCTAAATACCGAACTCGACTAGAATTTGAACTCGGCTCTGAGATTTCTGATTTCTAGTCATCATTCATTATAACAGCCGCACATCCAAACTTATAGAACCTGATATTCCCAAGTGATCACTCATCTAGGTACTGACCAGGCCCAACGTTGCTTAATTTCAGTGATCTGATGAGAACAGGTGTTTCAATATGATAGGGCCGTAACCGTAAGCACTAATACTTTTTAATATCAGTTTCCACTTACATGACTATATATATATATATATATATATATATATATATATATATATATAATTATTTATTTAAAAAATATATATATATAATTATTATATAAATATATATATATATATATATATATATATATATATAATTATTTATTTAAAGGCTAGAATATGTAAAGCTTGGGATGACCCATGCCCTTTGTGCCTCCATGAAAATTGCACATTATTAAACTTCTAAATAATAATAATCTATTAAATAATAGACACGAGTTAACGGTTTTTGTAGGCATCATCAGATTTTTGGTTTGAATTATTAGATAAAAAAATTTATATAACTTGTTTAACAAATAGCCCAATCATCAGATTCATAGTAGGAATAATTAACTACAAACATACAACATAACTCACTTCATAATCCATAGCCTAAATTAGTAGTTTAAATACCTTACATATAAGATAACCCTTTATGAAGTCGTCAAAAAACAAACGTTACGAAAGTTTTTTTTTTATATGCACATTCCTTTCATAATAAAATAAAATAAAATAAATAAATAAATCTCCATAGACAAGCAAACGAGACGATGGCCAATACATCTTCCGTTTCATTTTGACACCCCCACCTTTCCCCGACTTGACACCTTGAAAGTATCTCTATACCGCTACTTATTATAAACACCCTACACACGCCTACCCAATTTAGACAATTCACCATAGCTGTTACCATGGGGATTTTGATTTCAATTTTAAAACAAGTAAATTTCAGATATACGTTATTCCAACAAAAATTTCGGTTAAAGATGGAACGGAGCCCATTTTACTTTCAACTCAATTTAATTTAAAGGATTATATTAAAGTTTTCGGCTCTTGTTTTGAAACATGAGACCTCTTATGCAGCGATTTGGAATCATATTTTTAAATAAATAATTATACTTATGCTCTACTTTTGTATCGAGCACTATTTTTTAAAAATAATAACTAAAATACTAAGGGACTTTGGATTATTTACCTAACCAGTTCCTTCCTATTTTCTATATATTTTCACACACACACACACACATATATATATATATATATATACATATATATATATATATATGTGTGTGTGTGTGTGTGTGTGTGTGCGCGTGTGTGTGTGTGTGCATATAAATCGATAGATGGATATAAATGTACATATATATGTGTGTGTGTATATATATATATATAGGTTGTCATCCACAGACTGACTTGTTTCGCTGTATCACAACTCTTCAGTGTGGCTCGACATCCGATTGCCTCAAGCCAGAATCGGAACTCGAGTGATTTGGTATCAGTCAGAGGTTTTTACCCTAAGCTATCAGCTCCCAACCAGAGAGGAAGGTGAATTTTTACGTATTAATCTTTTCATAAACACCCCAGTGACTCGGTGTACTCGATTCGTAGAAGAGCATTGCATTATCAGTCACTAAAAAGCTCAACCACTGATGAATTGTCTTGTTTCTCCAACTCTTTCTGGGGGAGACTTAGAACATTAGAACGACCCTCGTATATAACAAATTGGTGACTATATGGGAAAACGTGTATTATAGTTAAAACATCCAAATGTCTTATTGAAAGTTCTTCTCACTAATGTCCTTGGGCAAACGAATTGACCTGTTTCTTCTCACTGTCCAACTTGGGGTTAAATAAGTGTAGACTATACTCCCTAGCCTTAAGTGGTAACCAACTTAAGCGAAGGAATTTTCTGAAAAAGAAAAACATGAAAAGTAAGCAGGAAACAACTTACGTTCAAGTTAGGACCTTGGTCTGCATTTTCTTTGAATTAGTGTCTTTGGAAAAGGCATGAACCTATTTTTCGTATTTTCGTTAAATAGCTCAAAACTTGGGTAGTAGCACGTCTAAGAGAAGAACAACTCTTAATTCGAAACCGTAGAGAAAGCCACAGGAAAATGTAGAGAAAGATTGCTTACCAACTAGCAAATGGACCAATCTGCTCTCCTAACTCAAAAACAAATTCAAATTCCAAAGAAAAAGAAATGTCGTACTATCACAAACCGATAAACTCTTCACAATTCAGTCTAGGTTAAGAACTTTGCTTAACGAGAAAAGCTTAAAAGATATAACTTTCTTTATAGTAAAGGAAAATCACTTTAAACAAAGTAATTACACCGAGCTGATAAAGAACTTAAATTTAAGGAATTCATTGCAATTCGGAAAAGTGATAAAGTCTTATTTAAAACAAGGACTACTATTCAAAATTTTATTCTTTCCAGCAGAGCTATCTTAGAAGACTAAACAAACACTATTAACATGACACACACACACACACACAAAATAAGCCTAATGTCGAAATCGGATCCATGGAACTGCACGAGATTTTTAGTGAGCATTACCCCGGCTATCTCTATGAGGAGGAAAAGACACATAAAATCTGGCGTTCACCCCGTCCCAAAATTTCACAAACTATTACGCCCGTTTATTACTTATCTAAAACCTTAAAGCAACTTATCTAGACGTACTTAACAATTAAATATAGTGTTTATTCCACTAACAAATTATTCCAAATGTTACAGACAAATAAAAATCATAATGGCCCCTTCCTTCAGTAGATATCGAAAGTCTCTTTACCAATTTTCCTGTTAAAGAAACCACGCACACACACACACACACACACACACACACACACACACACACACACACATATATATATATATATATATATATATATATATATATATATAATTGCTGAATGTAGTCGATTTTAGATGAAACATCCTGACGTGTCAAGTAAAAAACAATTCGTCTACAAAACTAGGGAGTTGGGGTGCATAACTGAACATCAAGGATAAAAGACAAAAATTTGATTTATAACACTCATATATATATATATATATATATACACACACACACACACACACACACACACACACACATATATATATATATATATATATATATATATATATATATATATATATATATATATATATATATATCTGTGCGTGTGTGCGCGTGTGTTTGTATGTGAGTATTAATCATTCACCCCAAGCAAGGCAATGATGCCAGTAAGATGCAAGGGAGTATTGGTAGATAAACAGAATGAAAAGACAGGGAGTGAAAAGAGTTTAGGAACATTGTCTTTCATTCACAGTAGACACTTTCGTCTTAGTGGTATTATCGCCTTTTGCTTCGTTAGAACTGATTCAATGAAAGCAACACACACACACACACACACACACACACATATATATATATATATATATATATATATATATATATATATATATATATAAAATATGTAACAGCAAAACTGTCCAATTATTAGATTAAACGCTGAACCGTTGTAACTTAGAAGTAATTACAGATATCATAATAAAATTCTCCGTGGTTTTTAGAACACTATTAGGCTCTACTTTGAGCAATTTGAGAATGTTTAATTACTCTCCAGCTTAAGAGAAGAATCGTGATGAAATCGATCATAAATAAAAATGTCATCTTCATCATTAATCAGAGCTAAGGATCGAAAGATCGTGAAGGATTGAAATAATGTTCTATATATATATATATATATATATATATATATATATATATATAATTCCAGCATTATTATGAAATTTATTCAAGGTGATCTTCGCCCCCTCTAATCTTCTAACTGACTGTCCTTGAGTAAATAGATGCCTCACAGGTTTTACGTACGATTTAATTTTAATGTCTTTTTTTACTGATCCTTGGACTGTCATAGCTGAACTCCATTTCTTACGTGCCAAACATCTTATGGATTGAGTTGGATTTTTTTATCTAATTGATCCAATTTGAAACACTGATCCCTCTTTCTCTTGTTACTTGCTGATTCAGATTTCCTCTCTACTGTTCCATTTTTAAACCTTATTCTCCGTTCTCTTGATGGTTCTTGAAAAGTCTGTGGATTTGGAAGCCAGAGTTTGAATATTGGTGCCATTACTGTTGACCTGAATGACTTTTTCCTCTTACCATTGCTCATTTTGGATGGCATAGTGGGGGTGACACCAAACAATTTTAACCTGTTAATTTCTAGCTGAACAACTCAAAGGATCTTTCTGTAATTTTTACGTCAAATGGTGTCAAGATGGTTAAACATGTCACCTGAAAACCTGGGAAAAAGAAACTAAATTAGGTTAGTGGTTTTTTATATATTAAATATTGTAGGAGGGACAATTATGCTGTTACACGGTTTGTACGATTTTTTTATAGTCATATATATATATATATATATATATATATATATATATATATATATATATATATATATTCGACTGGAAAAAAACTTAGGTGTTTTGGCTTGTAAATGAACAAACCAATTCCGAAAGGAAAATAAGGGATAAAAAAAAGAACTAAGGACATGTAATTGAGGCGAAAACAATCAATCCAAGCACAGAGTACCAAAAAAAAAAAACCGAAATGAGTAAGGCAAAAGTATTTCAATACACTAAGTAGAACGACTCTAACTATGAACCTAAAGTGCCAGGTAAACCTACCTACGTTTCACCTACGCGGATCGTCAGGGTTTACCTGAGGTTTAGGTATATATATATATATATATATATATATATATATATATATATATTTTTATATATATATAATCATATCTATTCTGAAACTATATTACCCACAATACTTGGATAAGTATATTTCACTTTGATCAAAGGGGGTTCTGGCCGTGTGGGGACGTTCACAAACACCCCATTTAATTTTTTTTCCCTTGATTTAAATTAAATTTAAATTTGAACAAGAGAATGACTCTATCCAAAAATAAAGAAGGAGAAAGCCAGAATGGAAATCACATTGGCAAAATCATTGAGTTATATTGAAATACACCATTTTGCTCCACAAATTATAACAATGATTTAAAATCAATCATCATTTTCTTACAAAAAATGTGGCATGCAGCAAAGGCATGGATAATTTGGCTAGTATATATATATATATATATATATATATATATATATATATATATATATATATATATA